AGCAGAACTGAACACCCCTGCTTTTCTGTTGGCTCTTTTCACCCATTCCTCTGTTTTTTACTCCATGGAGACGTCAGACTTTGGCTTAACTCATCTGTGAGCTCCACATCTCTGTGGCCACAGATGAAGACATCTCGCCCTCTGCTGGGTGAAGACATAACAGTACAGAAACCTTGGTCTGCACATTGAGGAAAAACAGCTAAAATGATGAGTGTGGCTGTCACAGAGGGGAAAAAGCAGATTTTTTACAGGATTGAAATTCACACCGTGTGTATCTATCTCCTGGGGGACAGGGTGATGGCACGTGGGCCTCCTGGTCAAGAGGGTTTAAACTAGTGAGGAGGATTTTTCAGGGGAGACCTTAATGTTTAAATCTGTAATTTAAATGTGTCATTTCTACAAAGAAGATGGAGATTCCCTTTTGACAAGGAGTCCCATGGAATAGATGGGGGGTAATGGGTACAAGTTACTCCTGAGGAGGTTCTGATTGGACACAAAAGGAAGGTTTTTTTCACAAGGACAATCAGCCACTGGAATAATCTCCCCAGGGAAGTGGTGGAGTCTCCAACATTGGACACTTTTAAGGTTCAGCTGGATGGGGTGCTGAGCTGTCTTGTCTAGACTGAGTTTTTCCCAAGAAAGTTTGGACCAGATGATCCTTGAGGTCCCTTCCAACCTGGTGGTTGGATCACAAAATCAACAAAACAGGGTTTTAACAGGGTCACCTCCAGCATCTGTGCCTGGGAGGCACCAGTATGGAGAAATCCCTCAAACCCTTTCTAGAAACTCCTTGTGCTGGGGTGTCTCTAAAGTGCAGGCAGAGAAGCCAGGCAGCATGGGGACTACGTGTGATGAGCTGGACATCTGGCTTGGCAGATGAGAGGAGAGCAATAGATATTGTCTACCTTGACTTCAGGAAGGCTTGTGACACTGTCTCCTGTAAGATCCTCATAGCCAAGCTGTTGCTGCACTGGACAAAGTATTGCCAGCTGGATGAGGGAAGTTCTCCTTCCCCTCTACTCAGGACTGGTGAGACCATAACTGGAGTTGTCCAGTACTGGACACTGGAGGTGTCATCTGAACATCAGGAAACACTTGAGGGTGACCAAACACTGGCACTGGCTGCCCAGGAAAACTGTGGGGGTCTCCATCCTTGGAGATACTCAAAATCCTACGTGTGGTCCTGGGTAACCAGCTCTCAGTGGCCCTGCTTGAGGAGAAGGTTTGGACTAGATGACCTCCAGAGGTACTCTCCAACCACAACCATCCTGTGATTCTGCACAGCTGTCAGCCAGAACAGAAGCTCTAGCTTTATTTCACATCTACCCTGACAGAAGGAGAGGATATCTGATAGGATGAGCCTTCAGAAGGTTGAGATCCTTCTGCCCATCAGTGGTTGTGTCTCTGGTTTCATTTAACACGTGCTGGTTGCACAGGCACTTGCACTCAAGAGCTTGGCCACTGGAGCTGCAAAACCCACCCTATTGTTAACATTATCCACCCAAATACATCCACCTCATATAATTATTCTCCACTTTTCTTTCTACTGCCTCCTAACCTCCTGCAGTTGTGCCTTTGGGAACTCCACACCACACCAATCGTTTCACTTTTATAGATTTTTCTTTTTTTTTTTTCCTTTTTCACTAAGGTTTTTAAATAACCATCAGTACAGTACAAAGCTTAAAATATCATCCATGTTTTCACCAATACCAAGTCAGCAGATGGGAGCTGGGAAGGGGAGGGGGGTTGATATGGAACAATCACCCCCCTGGCCCTGTTGCCCAGGGGATAAAAAAAAACCATACAAACTTTTTAGTACTTCTTGTTTAGTAACAAACAGTGCTTAAAAACGATCTGGTCAGCAAAGGTTTAAGTTGCAAGGCACGTGAGGAACCTGTCCTTGCCTTGTTACAGACACCAGCAGGCACAAAGCCAAGCTGAAGGCACCTCTTCTCCATCCTCCTCTTCTGCTCCGACCACCGAGCGAATCTCCTCAGGGGATATCAGCTGTTCAGGGCAACCTGAGGGCCAAGAGGCTGCCCTGAGTTCTTCCTCC